TAGGCCACCCACTTGTATCAGCTAGCTCTGGCTGTGTAAGAAACTACCCAAAACTAAATTTTATAAAACCACCACCATGAATGTAGCTCACAGTTCTATGAGCTGACTGGGTAGCTTTTCTGGTCTAAGCCCAGTCAGCTGATTTCTGCTGAGTTCTCTAAAGTGTCTCTGGTCAACCGGCGGGTCATGTGGCAGCAATGACCCCAGGATGGCCTCGCTCACGTTTTAGAAGGTGGTAGCGGCTGGCCAGTGAGACACTGGCAGCTAGGCCATGTGTCTCTCACCTTCCAGCAGGCTGCCCTGGGCTTCTTCACATCGTGGTGGCAGCAGGGAGTTCTATGAGTAGCCAGGCAGGACAGGGTACAAGCATTACCCAAGCCTCTGCTCGGGCGTATCGGCTAGCCAGCCATTGCTCAGAGCCAGTCACGTGGCTGAGTTTCGCGTCAAAGAGGGATGATACAGAAGGGAGCCCACTGAACCTATGGCTATTTTTACTATTCACCGTGATGCTCCATGAGGGCACAGACCCTGTAAGTACTTGCTCACCATTCTACATCAATGAGTAAAGCATAGTGCCTGGCACAGAGTGGGTGCTGAATCAATATTCGTTAAGTCAATGAATAACATTTAACTGTGCTAGTAAGAATGACCTTTTATTGAGCCTTTGCTATAGAATTGGAGCGGTTTTCAGACAGCCGAGGCTCACCATCAGGAACTTGTCTTATATAACAAAGGCAATCTGAGGAATCAGAATTTGAAACCAGTTTGTTGAATTCTGAAGCCTGCTCTGTTAACTATTACCCCCCTCCTTTTTTTCACGAGACGCTTTACATTTTTTGTCGATTCAAATTTCTTCCTTTATTTTAATAATTTCATTTTAAAACTGGGAGCAGGGTGTTTCTCTTGGCTTCCCCAGCCCTTCTCCTTGGTGGCCCAGAGGTCCTGCTAACACCTCATAACCAACCTCCATTTCAGCGCAGAGTGGTATTTTTGACGTAAAAAGTTAGCTTGGGGGACAATCAACAGCCCCACACCTAAAATCACTGCTCTTGACAGCTCAGCAAAATTGAAGGCCAACATTCACTCAAGAGGGCAATAAATCCAGCCCTCAAGGCAGCTGCTGGGAGGCGCTGAAACAGGCTGTTATATTATCTCTCAGATCATTCAGGCCTTACCTGAGGGAATCCATGGATCAAAATCAAAAAAGTCTCCACAGAACATAGCCCTCGAAATGACCATTGTTTATTCAGAGTTCACTAATTAATCAGCCCTACAGACTTTCCTTGAGCACTCACGGTATTCCAGGCATTTTGCTACTCACAATGGGAGAACATAAGTGAACAGGAGCCCCTGCCGTCAAGATGCTCGTCTCAACAGACAATGATTTGGCAAGGTATTGATTGTTGTGGTGCAGACGTGCCCGAAGAGTACACAGGGCGTGGCCAGCTCAGTTTGGGTGGGAAGTTGAAGAGAACGGGAAAGTCTCTCATACAACCTTGGGAATCTAATTCAGGTTCAAACAAGGTTGGGCTTCCAAAATGGTACAATGGAGTAGCCAAGTTCAGGGACTGAGATGACCATTTGCAGATTCGTTATTTCTGCTGCTTGTTATTTATGCAATTTTGGAAGAGATGACTTCTCTGAACCTTAGTGTACTCATTCATGAAATAGGTGAGAATAGTATCCACCTTAGAAGGTTTTTGTGCGGATTAAATTAAAATATATATATATATATAGTCTTGTGCTTAGCATGATGTGGGGCACTTAGGCAAGGTTCAGCAAGTGACAGGTGTCATTAGTGGTTGAGGTCATAGTATTGCTGCTAGTAGCATTCTCAACTATATTGATGATTCCTTCATTCATTTAACAAATATTTGTTAAGTGTCTACCGTATCTCAGACCCTATGGGGGTCACAAAAACGACAAGAGGTATGTCAAGCCTTTTGAAAGGCTTACTGCTTAGTGTAGAGAAGACACGTCTCTAAGTAGCTACCCTCCTGTCCAGCTCTAGGCTCGCGCCCAGTGAGACGGGGCCTGGAATCCCCCTGCACATCAGGACCGCTTTCCCTGGGATACACACATTTGCTCTCGGGCCACTTCAAAGCTTTTTGATTTCGGATTTACCTCTCATTTTTCGTTGCCGTTTCACTTTTGTCTCTCTGTCTTGGTGCTTGATACAACTCTATCGGTGCTGAACTCTGGCTTTCATTGTTGGCTAGGGCTGATATTTTCCCTTTGGATTATGTGCTCTAGGGCCACTCTAGGCAAATATCTTACCCGACCTAGCCTGAGCAGAAGCGTGATCCAAGCTTAGTCCTTAGGGGTTGACCAGATGGCAAATTTAAGGTGGTGATTGAAAAGCATCTCGAAGAAAAAAATGGAAAAGTGCTATGGGGAGCACAAGGGAAAGCCAGCCTGGTCTGGACTTTACCACATTGGCTTGGTGGAGAGCGAGCAGCCAGCTCCTGTGCTGTAATTCATTTCTGTGCAACACAGAGCCCACCCTTGCAGCCTCAAGCTGACCTCATGTGACTGTGTGTATATATACTTCTTGCTAATTCACCAAGAGCCGTCAGTTGCTTGACTGTAACTTGACATCTCTAACAATCCATCAGCTTATTTATTAATTATAGCAAGCTGGTTTCAGCCACAGGAAATTAGAAATAAATTTTTCAATAAGCCACATCTCCAGGGATAGTTCACAAAATCAAAAAGAAGACTACCTGGCCAATCTAATTCATTATCACAATCAAATAGTGTTAAATGGTTCTTTGTGGGATAAGCTTAAATTGGGAAATTGTATTAGCGACTCTAATCATCACTGATTATTTAATTATCGGCCATTTAAAAATCGTCTCCAGTTTTGAGATTACGGGTCAGATTGAGATTCATAGCATCCTTCTTTAGTTCACTCCACCCTGTAGCAGGATGTATTGCAATGCTGCTGAGTGAGCACTGATCTTGATCCCCACCACAGTTCTTTCATTCCATGGCACCCTGGAGCAAAGATAATAATAGCTAGCATTTATGGAGTGCTTATTCCCTACTACGAACATGTTTGAGTTCATAAATAACTCATAAATAAGAGCTCATACATGCTCTTAGCACACATTGTGGTCGGTTATATTTATCAACTTAGTTGATCTTCATAAAATCCTACAAAGTAATCATTGGGACTCCCATTTTATAGGTAAGAAACCTGAGGCGCCAGGACATTTGATTGCCAATGTTCACAGAGAATAAGCAGGAGAGCGAAACTCATAGTCCAGCTAATCTGGCTCCAGAGCACCACAGTCCCTGCCTAACCGCTAGGTCATTCTGCCTCTAATGCCTCCTAGCTTAGTGTTCGGTGCATGGAAAGTGCTTAATCCAGCCAACCATTGAAGTCCCCACCAGATTGTAGGCTCTTTTGAAGACCGCATGGTATCTTATTTAGCTCTGTATGTGTTCTTCACCATTGCTAGCACTGAGCTTTGAATAATAGAAACTCAACTCTGTGTGTGTGTGTGTGTGTGTGTGTGTGTGTGTGTGTGTGTGTAATTGGAAGGATAAGATAGGGGGAGGGTGGTGGCAGAAAGAGTAACATAAGGATTTTACTAATTCCTAAAGTAGCCTGAAGTCCAAAGATGTTACAATCTCCACTCAGAATCTTTGGGTAAACACACGAGTATATCAGAACCAGGCTAAACCCTGCCTAGATGACCCCAGGTCTGAGAAATCAGGGCCTGGACATCCTCTCTTTGAGAAATGTTAGTAGGTAACAAAGAAACAAAGTTGGAACGGTTGGTGAGTTAATATCTGAAATGCAATTCAGATGAAGTCATATCCAGACTCTGCCAACTTTCAATTGCTTCCAGCATCTTCAAACACCACATGCCAAAATGTTCCCTCTACCTCACTCACCAACACCTCTGCTTCCCAGTCACTGCGGCGCAAAAGCCCGTCTCTGAATCCTTTCTCCCCGTGCCTCTCCCGCCTTCCTTCATCACCCAGGCTCCACGACCACAGACCCAGTCTTCTCCTTATCATGCTCATGGGTTCCCAACTCCTTCTTCCCTGCCAAGGCTCCTGACCAGGCTCTCTGCCTGTTCTCATCTCTCCTCAGTCATCCATGCACCACCGTTGCTGTTATCTTTTTCTAATTGCAGTTCTAAGTACATCCTTCTCCTCCTGGAAGATGTGTGGGAAATCCCCACTTCTGCTGGAGAACATGGCCCTTTACCTTGAATTCATGGGGCTTTTATCATCTAGCTCAACCGAGCAATTGAGGTTTGATCGTCGCCTCCCATCCCACATTCAGCTACACTCTCCCCTCTAACCCAAGTGCGCTATTTCTAGACCCGCACGTGTTACCTGCTCTTCCCTCCTGCCAGTTCTTTATGGACTGCTGCTCCTTCAGCTGAAGCCTCCTCTTTCCTGCCTGCCTTTCAATTCACATAAGCTTTTGCTTTTTACCAGCCAAACCCAAAGAGACACGTCATTGAGTGTGGTAAGGCTCTTTTACTTTCTCTTCTCAAAAGGCACATTGTCTAGCAGATTATATTCATCAGCTGTCAGGACACATGCATAGCTTCTTTATTACCTGCTATGCTTTTTTGTCTGTTTCATCAATGGGTTGTCTCTCAAATCTGAACCTTGTCTTTCTCAGGGGCAGGTCTATCTCAGCCTTACTTGTTTACCTCACAGTCTGTGCAGATCATTTTTGAAGATGGCCACTTTGGAAGAAACCTATCTGGCTACGGAGATGCCTCCATGGAAGGAGGGCAGAGCCAGTAGCCAGGACCATGAACGTGGAGGTGGGGTGGGTGGAGCAGTTGTGTCTAGGTGCCAGGTGCTCATTCCTTTTGACTCCTTTCAACACTGTCATTCCTCAAATACCTTGAATAAAATAACCAAGTCAAATTCTCTTCTTCCTAAAGGGGATCATGATAGACCTCAGTAGGTTTCAGACTCAGCTAATAGAGAACAGATATTTTTCATAATTAGAAAATAGGCTCACCAGCCGGGTGTGGTGGCTGGCGCTTGTAATCCCAGCACTTTGGGAGGCTGAGGCAGGTGGATTGCGTGAGCCCAGAAGTTCGAGACCAGCCTGGGTAACATGGTGAAACTCCGGCTCTAAAAAAAAAGAAAGAAAGAAAAGCAAATACGCTCACCTGTGGCTCACCTATGGCAGAATGGACATGAACATCATCCCAGTGACCACTGAGAAAAATCATTTAGTCTATTTCTGCATTTTGCAGATGCTAGGTCACTTCCGGCCTGGATCCCGTAATCCCATCTGCTTTAGATAGAGGCTAAGTAGGCTATTTATTCTGGAAGTCTGTAACTCCTCTCCTAAGTAGTGGGTGCCATTTCTTTCCAGGCTGTTTATTCCAGGTGACCCTTATACATGGTTCGTTCAAGAGGAACTCAGAGTTGGAGCTCTCCCCTCTCCAGAAGTTTCCTCAAGACACAGACCCCTTCATTTGCTATATATCCCATTAGAACTCTATGACAACTCTTTCCTGAACTCCTGAACATATTTCAAGTCTGGGTCTTCAATATTTTGTCTTAGGACTATAAAGAATTTAGGTGCATTATTCCATAACTGTTTCCTGCTATACTGTTTCATTTCAGCAAAGAAAAGAATGAGAGTAGCTAGGAGTTTTGCACGGTAGCCTTTCACGTGCCCAGGGTCTCACAAAGGGAGCTTGATGTAGTGTGAAACAAGCCACAAAGTCTCAGAATCGACAAGCAACTGTTAACATTTCTTCAAAGACAGAATCGCTACTTAATTCAGTTAACGTTTCTGAATACCAGTATATTCATAGCACTCTCCTAGGCACATAGAAGAGACAAAGGTGATGATCGGAAGGAGAGAAAATAAATAAAATGGGTCATCAACCTTAAGGGAGTTACAGGCGATGCCTGTTATTTGTGGTAGTAATGTTCTATGAAGTCTCTGTGAACACTGAATTCAGCGAATCCTGAACTGTTCTTCCTAGAGGAGACACGGGGTCAGGTTCCTGTGAGTATCTGGTCACGACATTTTGTCCATTGATCAATACAGACCTTGTCTTCATGTGTGTGTCTGTTCACAGACGTGATATTTAACACAGTCATTAACACTGCGCTCATGGCCAACAGCGTCATAACTGACGGGTGAACAAAGCATACCTGGAGATGCACTTTCTCCGTCGGTCCGTAAGGCACATCACAGCCTTCTTGCGCTTAGGGACGCTGGGTGCACTGCAGCACGACCCTTGGGGCCATTTTCAACAGCAATAGCATCACCAAAAAGCACTAAGGCACAAAACATATGTCCCTGAACGTACCATGAAGAGGACACTTGTTTACAAGTTGAAAATTAAAACAAACAGGCAGAGCATCCCCTTGTCTGACCTCACCTGGGAGGGGGCATGGGGTGCTTCAAGTTTTTCTCCGCTCTGCACACATCTGCAATTGATCGTGAAAGTGCCACGAGTGTGGATTGGGGGGTTACCTAAATTCAGCAAGTGGGCAAAGTCACAGTTATGGAACTCGTGAATAATGAGGACAAATTGTGTATTCTAAAAGTCATGTTAACAACAAATTACACTATTTCTAAGACAGAATTGGGGCAAAAATGAAATATGGTCACCTGGACCAGCTACATAATTTGCAGGGACCAGTGCCAAGTGGAAATGCAAGGTCCCTTGATCAAAATGACAACTGAGCGCGAAGCCAACTGTGGTCTTGGTGAGTGAGGGCTCGTTACCACTGCACAGTTCCTGTGGCCACGAAGCTGGTCCCAACCCTAACAATTAAATGAGTACATCGTGGGGAGCAGCCTTGGGGACTGGATCAAGAAAGGTTTTCTGGAGGTGGTAGCATTTGAACAAAGCCTTGGATGGCTTGAGAAAGTAGCTGAAATGAATGGTTGAACACCACCAATTCCTGTCATGCCTACTATATTTACAAACAATAGTCTGGAGCCACGGTACAAAGGTTGGGTAGCACTTACTGACCCGGCTGCCTGCCAGGTACTGGGACAAATGGTTAATGTGCAGTCTCTCCTTTAATCATTACCATAACCCTAAGAAGGGCAATGTCATGTCACCCCATTTTACAGTTGAGGAAACGGAGGCTTCTTGAGATTAAGTAATGTGCTCTGTGTCATACAGCCAGGGGAAGAGGAATGGTTTAAACCCTGGCTCTCTGGTCCCCAAACTCTTACTTGGAACATTCATCAGACCCAATTTCCCTATTTAACAGGCGATACACATTGCCCTATTTTTTAACGGAGCCATCCGTGGTAGTCTGACTATCAGTGGGGCCAGATAAGCACACATGGATCTCAGAGGGGATAGGTGAGGCTGAGAGGGCACCTCCATTCCTAACCTGCTTCTCAATCCTGTTGCTTCATGAGGAAGGCAGCAGTCATGCTATTCAGACATGGCCAGGGACCTCACACTCGTGTAATTCCTTAGAGTTTACAAAGTGCTTCCGCCTTCATGATTTCATAGGTTCTTGCAACAGTCCCGTGAATTCCTGACACCTTTTACAGATGGGAAGCTGATTGTGAGGGAGGACAAGTGACTAGGCCAAAAAACAGGCAGGCAGGAAGGCAGGCAAGTGAGGAGAGAAGGCTGGAACCGGAACCCAGACCTGCAAGCTCCCGCCCAGTGTCCTGGCTTGGCCCCTCGGCCTTCACCAGGACCATTGGTGGCCAGTAGCTTAAAACTCCACGGTACAGAAATGCCTCAGCTCCCCATCTTCCCCTGCCTAACGCCTCTCACTGGTACAGGGTGAGTGCGTGTGTTCGGGTTTGCTTAGCAAATGCATTCTCCTTTTTTTTTTTGAGACGGAGTTTCGCTCTTGTTACCCAGGCTGGAGTGCAATGGCGCGATCTCGGCTCACCGCAACCTCCGCCTCCTGGGTTCAGGCAATTCTCCTGCCTCAGCCTCCTGAGTAGCTGGGATTACAGGCATGCACCACCATGCCCAGCTAATTTTTTGTATTTTTAGTAGAGACGGGGTTTCACCATGTTGACCAGGATGGTCTCGATCTCTTGACCTCGTGATCCACCCGCCTCGGCATCCCAAAGTGCTGGGATTACAAGCTTGAGCCACCGCGCCCGGCCTGTATTCTCCTTTTGATTAAGAGTGGAGCAGGAACGCAGAGTATTTGGTAGGGCCGTCCGTACTCTGAGCAGTACACATGACCACATGACAGGAACCTGCTGGCAGTTGGCGCTCAGTTTGTGGACTATTCAGCTGAAGGGGTTTTCCAGCTTCTCTGAGCAGGTTAATTAAGCGAAGTTGCTGGAGGGGGCTCCCTTTGGTACGGGACAGGAGGAGCAGAGCAGCATCTGAAGACTTGCGCACCGACTGGCATCTCTACCCAGCACCGGCAGGCTCTTTGGAGCCAAGAGAAGAGCCGCTGCTTGCTTTCCGCTTGCCTTGGCTCTGGTCACTGGGCTGTCCTGCAGCCAGGGTGCTGAGGCCCTCTTGGGCCCCCTGTCCTGCAGCAGCGCAAGGAGGAGGGCGAGGCCCTTTCTCTTCCGTGTTGAGCTGGGCTGTGGCGGGAGGGAGGGAATAAAAAAGGCGCTGGCTCTGTGTTCCAGAGTTAATGGTTCGTGTCTGCCGAGGCTGTCTATCTGCACTGTACTCGAAATCAAACAACAGAAAGCAAGGATGAAGCAAAACAACCCAAATGATCAAAAAGCCTTCTGGTGGTGGGTGTGAAACTTGCTTCCTCTCGGCAGCAGAGGTCCAAGTACACATAGCCACTGGAGAGCCACAGTGCCGAACAGAATACCTTTGTAGTCACTTTTGCTCAGAGACACATGCACACGCATACATTTAAGGAGGAACGCGCCATTCGCTGCCCTACGAAGTGTCACACATCCGCATAGTAAGCAGTACATTTCACACGTGAAGGAGGGGTCTGAATCTCAAATGTAAGCCACTGGAGATCTGTGAAAATTATCAAAAGGGGTGAGTAGAAATTCAGCAATTTTATTCCGCTCAGTAAGGAATAAGTGTGTGGTCGCAAACCATCCTTCTGTCTCATCAGGAAATTTTGTGGTAGACTTACTCTATGGAAAGTTTTGTCTACAGTTTTCCATCTGCTGTGATAATCGTTATTAATCAAGCTGCTGTCATACCATCTTGGGCTGTGATTTTGTTAACTCCTCCATGCGAAGGAGGTTTGTCCTGGGGAAGGAAGAGGTGATGGAGGGACCCGGATGATGCAGGCTCCCTGGATCACGTGACAGGTCTCTGGGCTGTTCAATGCCATTTTCTAAAAAAAGCATAAAATGGGGCCTGTGAGCATCTATGCATTCTAAGACTCACCCATCAGATTTCCCTGAGATCCTGTGTGAGGTGGGGAGTCAGTTTCCTACTCCACAGTTTTCCATGCCATTCATGTAAGTCTCTGATTTCATCAGAAAACTTATTTGCTGTCTGCCCCACAGCCTCCTGTTTCTTGGGCGCTGTTGAGTATGCACATGCTGAACTCCATTCCCAGGCGGTACGGAGAGGGGACGCCTGCGTCCTTAGGAAGCTGCCCCTGCGTCGGTGTCCGGAGCTGGCCCTGAGTCGGTGGTCCATGAAATTCAGTGCTTTTGAGTACTTTTGGTTTGTTTACTTTGTTTTTGTATTATTTTTAGAAAGTAATGTAAGGCTAAACAATGTTTTAAAAATAATCTAAAAATTTCGTCCCCCACTAGAGATAATTAGCTGCATGTGGAGTTAATTTAGAAACTAGAACCCCAGCTTTGGGAGAAGCAAACAGAGGTAGTGGTGGATTTCCATTTTATGATTAGTGCAATGGCAGAAAAGTCACAAATAGGACTTTGTGCCTAACTACATAGTAATTCATTAGAATGGAGATATCAATGAAAATAAGCCGTGGCTCCCCTTTCTGGAATCTTCAATTGGTAAAATTCCCCCTCCTCTCCTGGCCTGCCTAATCCAGCTCCCAGTATATCTTATTTTACAGGCAGAGAGAATTGAGCCTGAGAAAACAAAGGTATGATTACAAGAGGTGAAATGATAACTATATTCAGACTAAGGAATAGATCTTTTCTA